GCTATGTATCTCACATCTGAATTGATTGCTAAACAATAATTCATGCAAGATATACATGACCGTCGCTGGAGAAATCCATTCCCTGCCATGCATGCCACCTTCGATAAAGATTCCAGGATTTTCTTCACCATTAATTATTTTTACGCCTTTGATCTCGCGTCCTTCGTATGTTTTGTTGGCGGCCACAACGACGCTGCATTTTTTGGAAAAGTTTGCGGCTAGAACGTCCAGATAAGAGTAGATTTCTTCGAGAGTATGATAACTATTAAAATCAAAACCCCACGACTGATTGTTGTTAGGCATGGTATTGTCGACTAGTTTCTGGACATTGTCAATTCTGATTTTATACAGCATATCGCTGTCGTCCAATGTTCCAAAGAACTGTGTGAGCATTCGCGGAGATACCATAATAAGCGCTTCTTTGCCTAAACTTGGACCTTGCCAGAAGCTGTACTGTAAATGACGTTTTATAATTTTGATTAACTGAAATTACATTTCAATTCTTTTTCGGAAAATAACTACAAATTTGTTAGTACTATTCTTATTTCATGACATTTTATTACATATAAGTTATTTTTATTATCTATGAAAATGATTTCATTTATTTTAGATCGTTGAACTGCATGAAAATTGCTGTATTAAATGTTAAATAATAAAATCAATTAACGATATATTAATTTCCGACTAAAAAAAAATGAGCATGTAAATTGTATATATTTTAATCTAAATAATTTTATCTAAATGGTTTATTTACTTGATTTGAATTTTTCAACTCTTGAAGTAACCGCAACTGGAATGATGTTGTCGGGACAACACTGATAACTTTGTATTGGTCATATCTAATCATGTCGGCAGCTAAGCCCGTGATCACAATACACAACACTATTATTTTCCACATGATCACTGTAATGGAAAGCAGACACTTCTTATAATTTGAATTAAAATATCATTTCTTATAACGTTGAGTCATTTTTCGAGATAACTAATATAATAATCAATAATAATTGTTAATATCTATTAAATATTCAAACACTTTCTTTAATAAGAATTTTATTTATTTGAAATTTTTAATTGTACTAAACGTTATATTAAAGCCATTATAAATATATAAAATCATATTAAGAGTAGCACATTATTCGAGAAAACAATCGCTCTGCTATAAAGTAAAGAAATCGTTTGGTGAATACGCATTATCATATGACTAATTACATATACTTTTT